CCCTCACTCACCTCTCTTTCTCCGTTTTTGCATTAACCTCACTCCTTTTCGTATTTCTTGGGTGAAAACTTATTTACATTCAAATAACACACTAGTAGCAAAGCTCATAGGTGGCCGTAGTATAAACTTGTCTAAAATAAGAACTGTAGCATTCTCAAAAGATAAACTTCTTTTGATCCAAAATATATATCCATGTACATGAGGCCACATTATGCATATAGACTTAAGCTGTCTTTGCCAAGTCTCTTATGTTTTCAAGATTGCTTTCTAGATCATTTATAATCCCTCTGTTCTAAATTATAAGACATTAAAGCTTTTCTAGATAGTTTTTGCCCTGTTCGTTTGGCTGATAAGCCATGGCTAAAAGTACTGTTGGCTGATTTTTTGTGAGAGAAAAATATTATTATTTGACTGAAAAAGTACGGCTTATAAGCCAAACGAACAGGACGATTAACTTTACTATGTATCTTGCCATAGTGTATATCTAAATGCATACGAAAAGTCATGAATCTAAAAAAACCAAAAATGTTTTATAATTTAGAACGGAGGGAGTTTTTTATTTGTGTTGCAGGTTCATCCCAAAGTCAAGACCACTCATTCTAAAGTACATCAGTTGGTTGGACGTCTTGATCCTTTCATCAAGCATTACAATAGCCCTTTCCTTAGCATTATCGAGGTGGGACAAACCTACTCAACCTAATCTCTAGCATCAAAAGCATTTTTACCACAAATGGGTTGATTGTCCTCCATTCCATCATTGGGATTCCTCATTCTAGAGAACCCTCTTCTTAACTTTTTGCGTCTAGGAATTTCTAAAACATTTGATAAGGTAAGAAATTAGACATCAATACTAGAAGCAAAAAAAACATAACATTACAAATAGAAAATGATCGAACATTCACATATTTTGTCTTCTTCCACCACTCAAGGTCCATGTTGATCACCCCCTTTTCATTGTTCCAACCGGTTCATGTTTTCTTCCTCATTAATTTTTACCATGCAGTCAAATTAATAGCCCCTCAAATTGTCCCGCTTCTTCTATAGTTACCTTTTGCCCAACATGATTTCAGTACACAGAAACAATCTATCTGGTACCTCGACAAAGCCCATTGTGTTCAAATGAGTGTCCGGCCAATTCTCTTTTCTAACTTGTTCGGTGAACAACTTGCAAAAAAGCATGGTATGCTCATCATTCTAATCCATTGAATCACCCCGTGCAGAGAGCTCCCGCTCTATGTGGGGTCTAGGGAAGGGTGTCAGTGGCAAGCCTTACCCTCGTCTGTGCAATGCGAGGAGACCACGACTCGAACTCGGGACCACCCTCACAATGATTTCCCCACAACAATTTTCAAATTCCAATTCACATATATTTTCATATAATGATACTATGAAACAATCCTATAGTAGTGTGGACCTCTAATTCATATACTTGACATTACGCTTCACAATCAATTAAAGTTATAACAATAAAAATGGAATAGAAATTGATACCACATCATCCTATGTCCTCTTGCTGGTTGATGGAGCACATTTCTTCACTTGTGTCACTAATGGGACCGTTGCAATGCATGCACTAGGAAGACATTGTCAAGTCCCCGTCGAGCCTTGACGTGGCTGACGCCACGGCTAGGAAGGGGGCCATTGGCTAGCCAGGGGGCGCCTACTGCTAAGGCTGGGGCAGCTGGGGGTGCCCTTGGGCAGCCAACTGTTTCTATAGGGGTAGTTGGAGCACTTTTGGTCGTCCCTGGCTAGACAGACAGCATAGCAAGGAAGGCTATGGTGGTTGGGGCAAGGGTTTGTGGCTGACCATGGCCACTCGAAGAGTGGGTGTAGGCATGGTCATGGCCAGCCAAAGGGGCGTAGGATCTAGGGCCAATGCAGATGCCATTGGTCGACGGGCACTCAACCCTAGGAGCTCCTTTTTAAGCAGAAACCAATGAGGAAAGGGGTAAGGAAGGTGAAGGATGGCCGAATCAACTCATTTTGGCGGTCACCGGGTCGGTGGAGGTGTTCAACCAATGAGTTTTAGCGGATGCAATGGCTACTATGGCTAGGGCAGCATGGGAGCTTCGGTAGACAAATAATCACGTCGAAGGAGAGGAGGGGATGGGAATAAAACAAAACAAACAGGTACGAGGGTTGGGTTGGGTTTGTAATCAATAGCATTATGGATATTTTCCATCCAATTTCACAAGAAGGTATGGAACCAGCATTGTTGGGCAGCCCTTGAGCAGGTCTATGAAATGAAATTCATGAATCTAGCCTCCTAGCTCCATGCTTTTTTATCTAGATTTCATGGACTTAAGCATTTGGCTTACATTTTGTGAAGTAGAACTATCTTTCGTAGATCTAAAATTGGTGGAGCGCTACCAAATAGTGCCATAATTTGATATGCTACCATCACAGGAGGTGTGTTCATTCTTTTGTCTTTTAGCCTGTTCGCTGATTGGTTTCTGGGCTAATAAGCCCGGCTGGTGCTGGTTTGTTGTGAGAAAAAACACTATTGACTGGCTGATAAGCCCTGACTGAAACCAACAAGCAAACAGGCTGTTTGAGATCCGATGACACCATTCTTCTAATACTGAGTATTAAGTTTACTACAGACATGATTTTACCAAGACACCCATTGTTTCATCCATCGAAGTTGTTAAGACACTTTCAATTCAGAAACTATGATAGTTTCTGAAGTGGACCGTGACGCCTAAGAGGGAGGGTGAATTAGGCAACTTAAAATTCTAACTCTAAACTATGGCCTCTTTTTCTACCCTTAGCAAAACTATGTAAAAGATAAACTATCTAAATATGCAACTCCGGTTTTGCTAATGTGTTGCTATCTCTACCGCAAAAGAAGTAATATAATCAATGTAAATGCGGAAGCTAAAGAGCAAGATAGAGATATGCAAACTCCCGTTGACGACTCCAGTATTTTTACCGAGGTATCAAGAAGCGCGCAAGCTTCCTCTAGTCCTCGTTGGAGCCCCTCGCAAGAAATCCCTCGCAAGGGCCAAGCTCCTGGTCGGGTAACTCCGTGGATAGCCTCGGGCCTTCCCCACACGCAAGTGGGTCGCCGACGTGCCTTCTAGCAAGCCTCTCCTGGATGCTCCCCGTCGTCTTCACTAACAAGCTTCCGGCTAAAACGTCGCGGGCCTTGTTCCCTCCGGTACACGGTGGTGGCCACACCACAAACGCGGTTGGTGTGATCTCGCAATACTATAAGCCCCTCCGATGTACAACAATGATGCACACAAACACCGAGTGGTAGGAGATATGCAAACATCAATAAACACTAGGTCTAAACCTAGAGCAAGCGCATAAGCGGTGGTCTAATCAACCTAAGCACTTCACAAAGCACCTACGCTAATCACCTAATGAATCACTAAGCACTATGCAAGTGGAGATTACTAAAATAGTGTATCAACACCTTTGATATGTTTTCTCAGCTCCACACACCTCATTTTGCCAGTTGGGGTTGTATTTATAAACCCCAATGAGAAAGTAGCCGTTGGAGACGAAATCCCGCTTTTCTGCTATTGATCGGACGCTGATCACGTCCTGACCGGACGCGTCCGGTCGTCCCGACCGTTCAAGCCGTGAACAACTAATCGGACGCTGCCAGCATCCGGTCGCAAGTTCGTCGCTCTGGAACCTCTCTGTACTCGATCGGACGCTGCTGTCCTGCGTCCGGTCGGTTTGCCGCCAGCGTCCGGTCGCTGCTGCTGTTGCCGAGCCTCTGATCGGAGTGTCCGGTCGCTTTTCGTCAACGTCCGGTCCAGCGTCCAGTGGCTATTGTGAGCTCGTTTCTTCGTGATCTTACGTGTGTCTTGGTTCCTATCTTCATGCTTTGACTTTGCTTGATATCTTGGGTCTTCTCTTGTGCTCCTAAGGTCTTGCTTGAGGTGTTGATCATCGGATCATCACGTCGCCTTTGTCCAAGTCACGTCTTGCATCCTATTGAACTACAAAACAATCACTTGCAAATTCATTAGTCCAATTTGGTTATGTTGGTCAGGGTTTTTAATTTCGGTACTGCAAAAATTTCGGCCACCACCGAAATTACCGAATTTCACGAAATTCGGCCGAAATTTCGGCGAAATTTTTTTAGAGACTAGCACATGAAGCATGCTTTTTCTAAAAAAATGTAGATCTAAACAAATATTAGTATGATTTATGGTTACACATCTTCTGAATAGAAGAATATGTAATATAAATAATAGAAAATATGAGTATAGAATTATATAGTATATATATTAGTGTATTAAAAAATTCGCATTTTTTTCGGCCACCACTGAAATTACCGAATGTCGCGAAATTTGGCCGAAATTTCGCCGAAATTTTGAACCTTGGTGTTGGTCATCAAGCACCAAAATTCAAAGTAAATGGGCGTAGGGTCCATTTTTCTTACGATTTCTACGTATATTAATTAGGGTGCCAACTAAACAAAATATCGATGCGATATTGGAATTAAGGAAGAGAGAGAAAAAAATAATTTCTTATAAAAATTATGCCTACAAAACAAGATAAGAAAAAGATGTGATAGCTGGATGATAGGAGAAAGAAGAGATACGATTAGATAAAATTCTATTTTAAAGAAAACTATTTATTAAAAATATGCGTTCTTTTATAGTTTTAACTTGACTGAGTATAGAAATCATGTCGCTGAGACTATCATTAGCACAAATTCTTCGTGCCTTAAACCAATATATACTGTCTGTAATTGAGCATTGCTATCGCGGTAATGCGATTTACAGTATGTAATGTAATACTAGCATGTCGACTCGCATGTCTTCCCATCTCACCAAACCCCCATATGACCATCGACGGTGACTCCAATAGTCATTCGCCGCCGCTCCTAATCCTCACCATCATCACGTGCAATTAACCAACCCTCTCCAACCAATCCCCGTCGGAATTACAAGAAAGCCCCTTGCTTCCCGTTCCCCCTCCTCTCCGTTCATGGTGCTGGTGGCCGTCGACCGCCACCTCCGCCGAGGGGGCCTCTAATGGCGCAGTTCAGGCAGCAGTACGGCGGCGGCTTCTCCGACTCCCGCGGCCACCACAACCACCAGGCGCTCCCGGACTGGCACCGGCCCCACCACGCCTCCGCCAAGCCCTCCTCCCGGATCCGCCGCCCCGGGAAGCCCGCGCCGCGCCGCCGCTCGCCGGCGGCTGCCGCTGCCGTCGCCGCCGCGCTCCTCCTCCTCGCCGCCGTCTTCCTCCTCTCGCGCCGCATCTCGCGCAGCCCCGCAGGTTGGGTTCCTCGCGCCCGTTGGCCTTATTCCTCTCGCTTTTCTCCCCTATATAAAAAGATCGCATATTTGGCGCGTCCGGGCTCTTCTGTGGCGCGATTCGGTGCCGCCCGAGAGTTGTCGATCCAGTTTCATGTTTGGTTGAAGCTCCCATTGCGCGCTTGATTTGAAAATTTCTCCGCTTGGTTGCCTTGTCGTCTCTGTGATTTCGTAGAGATCAGCCAAGATTCGAGCGCCGGGGAGGCGTTGCCGGAGTGGAACCAGAGCAAGAGCTGGAAGGAGCTCAAGTTCGGGCACGGCGGGGGCGGCCGGAGCGCGCGGGACTCCAGGTACTGGGACCGGGACGATAGGCGCCGCGACGAGGACTACACGGAGGACGAGAAGGAGAAGATCTCGGGTGGAAGTGGGACCTCTGCCGATGCTGGCAGCAGCGGCGACAAAGGTACCACCTCTGAGGCAGGTCGTGAGGATAAAGGATTGACTCTAGAGACTGGCGGTGGCGCTAAGGATGTTCCAGAGGCATCTGAAGGTGGGAAAGGAGGGACCTTGTACAATGAGGGTGGCAGGAAGGAGTTGGAGCAGTATGAGGCTGCAGCCATGGGAGGCACAGGGACAGGGGTGAGGGAGGTTGATCCAGATGATGAGTATGATGATGGCATCGATGCGCAGGATGATCTGGAGGATGCTCACCTGCTTTCATCTGATGGTGGGAGGAAGCTTGGTGGTGGCAGCCATGAGAGTGCTGAGAAGAAGGACGAGGTCGCCACTGAGAGGCACACAGAAGCAGGTGGAGGGATCGCTGGTAGTCATGATATTAGTAGCTCAGACAAAAAGAAGGTTTCAAGTACTGGAGATAAGAAGCATGTGTCCAAGAAGAAACCGAAACGTAAGAAGTCTGGTAAGTTGTTTGCCTCTTTGAAGTTGCTTGCAATTTGAAAATTCTGAATCCTTATGTAATAGTTTAACTTCTTAGAAATTTTGATTCCAGTGAGGCAGTAGCTTGGGATAACTCAAAAACTCTGCATTTTTTTTCTTTTTTTGCTCTACTATTGTTCTGTAGCTAATTGGTAATTCTATGTTGTAAATGAAGTTAAAATTTTGTTTCATATTTGATTTTAGCTGTACTGACTCATAAGATCACTATTTTGTTTAGAAACACAAATTCTTCTTCCTCTAACAGGTGCTGCGGCACCTAGTAATTACCAGCATCTTAGAGCCTGAACAACATGCCTATTGTACCTGGTGAGGATGTGTCTTGCAACTCGGATAGCATGACTTGAATATTGGACCCCTGGTGTTGGACTGCCAACTAGTATTATGGTGTCACAACATGTTCGTGATTTGCTCTTGGATTTGGAACCCAATAACTGCGTGAAAACTTTTTTTGAATGTAGTGGCAGGAGCTTTGCCTTTCAATCAAGAAGGATAGAATTGACCTAGTTTATAAGGGAAACCAGGCCTGATTCTCTAAACCTCTGCAGCTCCCGATTCTCTAGCTAACTATTTACATGCATGGGACTGCTGTTATGTGACATGTTTGCAGCATGGCAATGTCATGATGCTTTTTCCTTAATAGTTCATGCAAGTCGATTTGAAATCATTAATAGTGAGCTTCATTTTGAGGTGTATGAATATGATTTCAACATTTGATAAGGGAAATAATCAGTTCCTCCAATGACAAAAGACAGTTTGCCTTCGACATCGTCATAGTCTTGAAAATGTACTTTTCACATATATGAAGTATATATGCATATAAGACATTATGAAACTACTTTTCAACACAAATCTACATGTTCAACATAAATTTGTAAAAAAATGTTGATGGTCAAGTTTTGGATAGTTTGATTGCCATGACTTAAAACTTCACTTTTTGTCACATGAGCGAGTAGCATATTTTTTCAGATGGTTGTCTAATAAGTTGGGATAAATTTAACAGGTTCAACTTGTGAAATGAAGTTTCTCAACTCAACTGCTCAACTTGTGGAGCCTGCAAGAAATGAGAAATTCGCTAGTTTTAATTTGGAGTATGTAGAAGTTGAAGAAAGACCTATTGGATCAGAATATTGGGAACCGAGATTTGCCGGCCACCAAAGTCTGCAAGAAAGAGAGGAGTCATACAAAGCCCATGACCAACAGTTGAAATGTGCTTTTGTTAAGGGTCCAAATGGTACAAGCACTGGTTTTGATATATCTGATGATGACCGAAAGTACATGAGTAAATGCCACATTGCTGTATCATCCTGCATCTTTGGAAATTCTGATCGACTGAGGACCCCATTTGGCAAAACGGTATGATATTTTCCTGGATGCTAAATTCTTGAATAAATTTGTTATGCTTCCTGTGTCCTGCTTACATTGCATTCGGCAACTTATATCGATTTTTTCTAGGTTCTGTAGTATATTTTGGCAGGTTAAATGATCATCATTTTGTTATGTCTTGTCTCACATAGTTATATCCTAGTCCACTCACTTTACGGTGAACTTCTATTGCTTTCTATTTTCAGAGGAACACATAAGGAACGTGCGCTATAGAGATACTAGGGCTGCGAAATGCAACTTCTCTTATAATACTGCGCTGATTACACCTGTCATTAAGTCTTTTAATATGGATATATAATACACTATCAACATCCTTTTGCATTTTTTACACCATAACCACATTCTCTAATATGTACTAAGTTAAATAGCTGTTGATCTTTCCTTTGCATCGTTCCAATGGGCGTACCCAGTGCAGAGAGTTCCCGCTCTGTGCGGGGTCTAGGGAAGGGTGTCACCGTGTCAGTGGCAAGCCTTACCCTCGCCTGTGCAATGCGAGGAGACCGCCGTTGCCATAAATTTTAAGATGCTTCTGAAGTTGCTGTTTGAGGATTTATTACATGACATGTAGATCCTGTAACATCTCTTAGAAATGTCTTGTTACACTTCGCAGATTACAAGCCTCTCAAAGAAGACAGTTTGCTTTGCTATGTTTTTGGATGAAGTGACATTGCAAACATTAGAATCTGAAGGCCAGAAAATGGACAGCATGGGTTTCATTGGTATATGGAAGATCATATTGATTAAGAATATGCCGTATAATGACACGCGTAGAGTGGGGAAAATACCAAAATTTTTGGCACACAGGCTATTCCCATCATCGAGGTAAGAGTGAATTTCTCTATGACAGTGCATGTCTGATTATAGTGAATTTCTTGGTAGTCTTTTTCTTTAAGTATTCTATTTTAGTGAGTTTCTCAAAATTTGACCTTGTATACTCTTGAAAAGAAGTTTACCTTTTGGTCAAGACACCTTTTCAGTACGGTTATTTCTTATGTGCATTCATGTCATCTTTTCAAGAGAACAAACAAAGGTGTTTTGCAACCCCTTGCCTTTCTCTGGGACCACCTCTCTGCTTGCAGTGCACATTACACATTCCAACAGTCCCACTTCCTGGAACTCATCACATGGCTCCACATGCTTGTCTGCATCACTGATATCTCGAAGTAGTAATCCATTCTTTCCTGAGTTGTCAGCTTATCACTGTTACTGTTATCACTTTCTAGGTCTGTTAACCTCATCTGGATGTATACATTTTTAAGATTTGTTTGTTGCTGGTATGCTATATTGTCCAATTGCATTACAATCCACAGGCAACATATTTTTTTTTTCTTTTGCACACACATATATACTGGTTTTGATTTGATCCAAGTAATAAGTTTATAAAGAAATCTTCTTGATTTAACTGTTAGGATATTTAAACTCAAAACTCTTAATGTTTATGAATATTGTATGAGATTTAGAGAAACATGCAACAAGCTTTTTTATATATTTTGCTGCAAATATGAGTAAATTTACATATTCACTTTATGGAAGTACCAGTGTGCTCATTCAGATAGAAGACCTTGTGCTCAATTCTGCATCCTGCAAGGATCCCTTATATCTGTTCTTTAATTTTATTTATTTTTACATACCACCTGTAACAATATCGCTACTTGTATCAGGTTCTCAATCTGGTTAGACAGCAAACTGAGACTACAAACTGATCCTATTCTTATCCTAGAGTATTTTCTCTGGCGGCATGGTTATGAATATGCTATTTCCAATCACTATGATCGGCATTGTGTCTGGGAGGAAGTAGCACAAAATAAAAAGCTGAACAAGTTCAATCATACAATAATTGATCAGCAATTTGAGTTTTACCAAGCGGATGGACTGACAAAGTTCAACCCATCAGATCCTAACAAGCTGCTACCAAGCTGTATGCTCTTTTACCTGCTAGTATTAATATACTACTGTATGAGTTCTGTGGACCTAACAATTTACACTTTCTACAGATGTCCCTGAAGGATCTTTTATCGTGAGAGAACACACACCAATGTCCAACCTATTCTCTTGCCTGTGGTACAATGAGGTTGATCGTTTCACACCCCGTGATCAGCTCAGCTTTGCATATACATACTTAAAACTAAGAAGGATAAATCCTGACAAACCATTTCGTCTCAACATGTTTAAGGTGGGTACAGTTGTCCAAAGTAGCTAGTTTGAAAATTGCAAGCCTTAATCATTTTGAATTTAATTGATGATGATGTTCGAGAATTTGTTTTGTTATTCTGCAATTTTTCAGGATTGTGAGAGGCGATCAATAGCGAAGCTATTCCATCATCGATCAGAAGAGAGACACAGTGGTGCACAACTAACAAGATGACACATCCTTCCAAGTGATGGGGGGCAGAAGAGAGATCAGGGATTGTATTTTTGATATAGCTCAGCTATCCACAAGACTGTCCATTGAAACTTTATGCCCCTGTCGAGGTGTTCATACTTTATATAATGCAAGTCATCTTACCCTTGTTACTCTTCAGTCCTGCAGACCAGTTCCCGCCTTTCATTTTTTGCAGTTGACAAAGGCGGATTAGGAGTTTCTAGCTGTTTGGTTTTTCTTTATCCTCCGTAAAGCTCTGTTTATTCTTTGGATAATATGGGGAAGTTATGGCTGGGCATGGACTTCCCAGATTGTCCATGTACAATGTATTATTATTACCACACCACTGTAGGACTCTGTAGTGAGGCCATGATTCTCCTGCAATTCTCTGTGGTCTTACTGAAATGTACCATACAATAGGAAACTGCAGTATGTAATTTCCTCCAGGATAGAGTCACCGATTTTTGGCCTTCTTTTTTTTTTCTTCAAATTTCCAAACCTCTCGTGTACGTTTTGATCTCTGAACCACTTTTCACTGAGCAACCTTGTGTATGTAATATAGAACATGCCATGTGTGTTTACCTAATTAGCAACATTTACATTATGTGGAATAAATAAATGAATTGCTAAGTAATTTTTCACATAGCAACCTGTTGTATGCCATTGATTGTCTCGATGACATGTAGGTTCTATTGCCTACATAGTTGGTCCCGGGAATGGATTCTACGAAGTATTCAGTAGAACATGCAAAATAATTTCACTTCTGACAGATGTCAATACAAGTTAAATTACAAACCAAAGGAAATGAAAACAAATCTGCACATCTACATACACATGTCAACACTAAAGGTTTTTTACATTTCTACACCACTTGCAAAACAAATCCAACTAATCAAACAGAAATCAGCATAAAGCCCGGCCAGCGTTAATTCTGAAGACCTCCAGCCTGCACAAGGTCAATTAATGGATTGATCCAGAGGCTAATCTAAAACTCACCTCATGGTCAGGTTAGAGCCTTGTCTCTGAGGATCCCCAGCATCTCATTCCTTCCCCTGATCACCTCATCAAATACTTCGTCAAGAACACAGTCGAACATCTCCACGCCTTCCCTGAGCTCACCTGACCGTGCCCTCAGCAGCTCTTCCTGCTGCTGTTCGCCGCGGCCTCCGCCGTCCACCTTGCCACTGACGAGGTCTCGCACCGCCGTGGCGACCTTCTCGTGCTCTGCCACGGCCGCAGGGCTCGGGAACCGGGCGTGGATCAACGACAGCGATTCGCACCACGGCTCCAGCTCAGGCGGGAAGACGTCGACGTCGACGGCGGAGGCGGTGATCGTGGGCCGGACGCCGCAGTTGTCGACGGCGGCTGGTGGGGCGGTCAGAGCCTGGAGCACGAACATGGACAGGACGGACGTCGTGATCTTGGCGACGAGCGTGACGACGACCATGCTGCCAGCGTCGTCCCCGCCGCCGCCGGAGATGATGATCGCCCTCCCCAGCCGCTCCGCCTCGGCCACCGCCGCCTTCGCGTCCGCCATATTGTCGCGGAACGCGGCCGACGACGGCTGGGCCTGGCACGGCTCGGGCTCGGCAGCGCTCTCCACGACGAGCGAGGCAGCTGCGCCGGCGCCGCCGTCGCGACCGCGGCCGACGATGACCTGCGCGGCGAAGTCGACGACCATGCAGTAGCGGTGCATCCGCGACACGGCGGCCTTGAACGCGTTGCAGAAGTCGAGCAGCGCCTCCGTCTCCTGCATGTAGTGCTCGAACCAGTCCCCGGCGGCGCCGCCGCCGGACGAGGAGACGGCCACCGGCACGTCGGCCTTCCTGAAGATGGCCAGCATCTCACGCTGCATCCGCTTGACGAGCCTCATGGCGTCCGCGCACCACCGCATGGACACCGTCCCCGACTGATGATCAACCTCCAGCGTGCTCTCGAGGTGCGCCAGCCCCTCGACGAGCGAGGCGCAGAAGGCGGCCGTGTCGCCGCCGAGAAGTCGACATCGCCGGCGACTGCTCGGCCTGAGGCGGCACCTTATCCTCATGCCCATGCCCAATTGCCCGTGCTTATGCATGGCCAAATACCACTGTTTGCAAGGCTAATCCTTCGACGGATATATATCTATATATCCATGTGCACTTGTTCATGTGAGAGGCTGAGAGCAGCTGAAATCCAGCAAGGGCTATTGGGCAGCTGCATGGATGTTTGCAAATGGCGGTGGTTAGGTTTCTTGGAAGAGTAGGGAAGATCATTTCAAAGGGGAAGGAGGAGGAAGGAAGTTGAGGAGTGAAGCAAGAGGAGTGGGATGCTATTCTAACTCTGCACCTGACATAGCTTGCTTTGCTTGTCCTTGTACATTCCTTGGTCTTGGCATGCATGTGTGGTTGTCAAGAGGAGGTTGGGTTGGGTGTTTGGACAAAACTCACCAAACAAACAATTTTGGGGGGGGGGTGGGGGGGGGGGGGGGGTGTGGTTTGGGTTGTTTTGGACAGGTTGTTGAGATGATGTGGACGTGGCAACGTTATTAAGATATGGATTGACTTGTAAGGATATGCTTGGAGGGACCCTCATGAATACATGGGGCCCTTGCCCTTTGTGTTGGATGGCTTGGGATCTTGAGAAGGGATGTAGTGAAAGTGTAGCGCTGTCGCTGACAGAGGGCCCATATGGATGCACTTTTGTCGTCGCGATTATGCAAAGGATTCAGTACTGATTGAAACTTCATTCAGAATCGATCGTCTCATTGCAGTGTCTGTCATATATACAGTGATCATTGTTTTTTATTTCTTTGTAAAATCCTTTAGTCATTTTCTTTTCATGACAATGGTTTTTTTTTCAAATGCAAATGAAGTTGACTAAGCCCACACTCAATAATAGTCCCTTTTTCTAATCCTTGGTCCATAAGAGCGGAAAATGGATCAAAGTCTAAATTATCCGAATTTATATCCACTAAAACATGAATATTTATAATACACCGACATCAAATTAGTTTCATTAGAATATTTATATGCATTTATTTGAACTTATTGATGCTAGTTTATTTTTCTAAAAATTTTAGTCAAAGTTAAAGAGAATGATCTGTAATTTGGAAGAGAATATCAATGTGCCACACTAACTCGTGTGTCTCTAAGGTGGTGGCTAGGCACTCGCTAGTACTCTCTCAGTTTTTTACATGTCATATTAGCTTCATCCTAAGTCAAACATTACTGTTTTAATAATCCATTTCAAAAAATCCTTATAGTCATGAAAGTATTTCTCATAGTTAACTAAAAACATAAATCTTGTGTTATTGAACTATATATATATTTTTTTTTTCAAAACTGATTGTCAAAGTTACAAATGTTTGATTTAAGACAAAACTAATACGACATATAAATAAAAACGGAGAGTGCCACAACGTCGAGGAGGTTCAGTCGTTCAGAATCGCGGGGCGATGCTAAGCTTGCCCCAACTCGGCAAGTTACAAGGACTCCAAAAGTCCTGACCTCCTGTTGTGCACGCGAAATTAAAGCACCAGATTGGTTTTAACTACACGTCAGGAGACATATTTTTTCAAATCTATTCTGCATATGAAAGCATAGCTTCTGGCGCTTTTATATTCTGTCTTAAGAATAATGGTATCTGACAGAATCTGAAACAGCTTCTATATTTCGCCTACATCTGAGAAAAAACACGAGGATCGCAGCAGTTTCAGCCGTGCCGTGTGTGCACTGCATACCAAGAACGATGGTGACTGAGGCCTGTAGGCGGCGACAGAGTCTTGTCCATGACGGCGTCACCTGGCTGAGGCGCAAGCAGCCGGCGGCAACAGCGAGTAGGCTGTGGTACGGTGGCAACCAGAGAGGCCCCGTTCGCTTCGCTGAAAAAACAAGTCAAAACACTGTTTCGGCTGATTTGTTGTGAGAGAAAAACACTGTTCCAGCTGAAAAAACAAGCTGAAAAAGACGGATTATTGTTGTTCAGCTTCGGTTGGAGAAACAGCTAGCAAGCACAGATAGGCAACACATGCCAAACCAAAGGCCACAGGGAAGCAATGACATGGCCTGGTGAGATTGATGTTTTGGTATACATGGGAACAAAGACGGGTAGATTGGTCTACCAAGTACTACTAAACAGTATACATTACCATTTTATACAATATATAATAATAACATGGCTTTAACCCTAACTCTACCAAGGAAAGTTAAAATGCAATAGCATCTGACCGTTTCCAGAGCTGCTATCCTATAACCTGACAACAATGAAGATAATATGATGACTCCTAGAGACGAAACAAAGTAAGGTCGACAACAATGAAGATAATATGATGATTCCTAGAGTTGAAACCAAGTATGGTCCCGTAGGAGTAATCAACATCCTAGAAGTAGGAGTGAACAGACATACAACATAATCATTAATACTATGGTACTTCCCATGACTGAGTTCGGCATTGATTTAGTGGAATAATATATAGTAGTTTGAATAAGTTTTTGAATTTTGTATTAATTTTTAGATATTTTCATTAAAAAAATATTCCTAGTCCGACCTACACCTCCTCAAACTTTCAACTTAGTCCGGTTTACCCCTCTAACGTGGTGCTACATCAGCAAAACCACTATTAAAACTGCTAGGGTGCAAAAGTGAACGGTTTTCAAAAGTTAAGGGGTTAAAAACTAGTTTTATAGATCAGGGAGAAAAATTGGACAACCGCAATAGTTGAGAGAGGTAAATTGGACTTCTTCCTAGTGACCAGGTGTAGGTCGAGATGGTGGACTAGAGGGGTGAATAGTCATTTGTAAAACTAATTATGCTAGCTAGCCAATTTACATGTGGAAATAAACTAAACGGTCTAGCCAAAGACTATACCCATCGCCTTACAAAAGATCCTAAGCAAGTTATGTCTAAGGTGCCTAGTTAATGGGAGCTCACCAAAACAATTCTTGTTGTTAAGGTCATACAAATCTATACAACTAGTTAACTAGGCACACCGGGAGCTCTTATACATTGTAAGTGCAATCAAGCCC